GATGCCCCCAGCGATGCTGGGCTTCCTCCTGGATCCCCGGTCTCAGGGCTGCTGCCTGCTGTTTACCAGGTTCCGTTGCCCCAAGCAGACTGGCTATAGATGAAAAGTGCCGCAGGACTTGATAAATCATAAACTTCCCTGGGCTCCTTCCCTCTCCACGGTCCACCTGTTCAGTCTTCCTCTGTGCTGAGGAATGTTCTCAGGGCCTCCCGTGGATTATCTCAGTTGACCTTCCCAACCTCCCTGTGACTTGTGTATAAGTAATACATGCCTCGCACGCTGCTCTCGCCCCTATTAGACAGGTGAGGAAACGGAAGCTCAGGCAGGGGAAGTGCCTTGACCGAAGTGGCTCAAGTAGTAAGTGGGGTGCAGAGCCATTCCCTGACTTCTGTCCTCCCCGAACTTCCAGCCTGGCACAGAGACGGGGACCGAGGAAGGGGACAGCTGCTTCTGCAGGACCTTGTGTGGGGAGCTCTGGGTGGTTGGCTCTCCAGCCCTTGCTGCCTGACTGCCCCTGCGGAGCTCTGGGAGACCTCGGGTCCAGAAGCTTCCAGTGCAGAGCGAAGCCTGCCACCTCAGGCAGGCACCGTTACTCCACACTTCCCAGGGCATTTCAGGTCCCCTTGCCCCAGGAGAGGAGACAAGGGCCTAGTACCCCACCCAGACTCCAAAACTTGAGAGTCCTTTATGGCAGCTCATGATCTAAAACACCTACCCCTCTTTGGATGGGTTTCTCCTTTGAAATCATTTTTATGGTTACTGAGCACCTACTGGGTCTTTGCAACAATCCCACAGGGTGGATACGAGTATTTTTTCCAATTCGGTGATGAAGCAACCGAGGTTCAGAGAGGTCTAGCAACCGGTCCTAGGACGCACAGTGATGGAGCTGGGGTTTGAACACAGGTGTGTTTGACTCTGAACCCAGTTTCCTTCCTCCAAACCCAGTGGTTTCATTCCCTATCTGCCCCAGGGCTTTCCTCTGCCCCGTTGTAGTGCCTCCCAGACCTGGTGTATTGTGGGTGTTCAGCCCGCCTAAGGGAGCATCAGTGGGGCTGAACCCCGAGGCCCGGGAAAAGACAGTCCAAGAGACACTTTCTCCATTGCCCAGCAGAGGGCGCCCCACCACAGCCAGACTTCCAAAGCCGTTTCCCTTCAGGCGGCCACTCGGGTGCCCCAGGAGAGCCTGGAGATGGGGTGTGGCGCATGGCAGACCCCAGCGTGTGCACTCCATCCTCCTGGGGCCGTCTTATAGGGATGTTCTCCCTAGGGGACCCACTGAGATGGGAATCAGCCACCCAAAAGGGCTCAGGTGCAAATACTGACTCCCATTTTACAGATAGGGAAACTAAGTCTCGGGGTGGAAAAGTGCCACTGTGAGTCCCACACCCAGAGCTGCCCGGAGAATGAAATTTGCCAGCCTTTCCCCCCCCCCACCACCCCACCCCCCCACCGCCCCGCATACACACCCGCATACACACACAGCTCAGGAGATAGTGCCCTAGGGTTTGGGGGGAGCCCACACCGAGGTTCTGAGCCTGAGTCATCCAAAACATTGGCTCGGTTCTGGGGGCTGTTTCTCAGGGAGGTAGGGGCCTGCAGCAGGGAGCAGGAAGGAAGAGGTGCTGGGAAATGGTCGGTCTGCAGGGTGGCCCGGCCACCAGCTCAGATCCCATCACTTGTGACAAGTAAGTGTGATGGGCTGGGTTAAACACCGCCCTCTGGGGCGACAGAGCCTGGAGGGTCTTGAAGACTGTCCTCTTTGGAAGCCAAGAGGAGAGACACATGAACACCTCATCTCAGGCCGAATGAGTTCCCCGAATTCCTCTGCCCTGCAGGAGGCCTCTGGGAGCCTAGAGGCTAAGCTGCAAGTCTGCTCGGTTCTCCGCGGGGGCGGGGGTGCTGGCATGGTCCCCTCACACCCCAGTTCCTCCTCTACAGAAACAGGCCAGCAGGGGCTGCCTGGCTGGCTCAGTCAGAAGAGCATGTGACTCTTGATCTCAGGGTCATGAGTTTAAGTCTCACATTGGGGGTAGCGATTACTAAAAATAAATAAACTTAGGAAAAAGAGAAAAAAAAAAAAAAAAAGGCCAAGGCCCGTTGCCCAAGCCCATCTTTCCCAGAGTCAGGATGAGGGTCCTGCCCCGGGGCCACGGAACCAGAAGTTTCCAGACTAGCACCCTGGCTGCCCTTACACTCCAGCATTGGGGTATGTGGCCTGGGCCCCACAAAACTGGGATGCCTGGGGAACCCCACAGGGCTCAGCTGGGCCCGGTGCAGGCCAAGGGGTCCTGTCGTCACGCAGAAGCACTTTCCTCCCCTTCAAATTCAGGTAAGAATGTCTCGCGAGGTAGTGCAGCAGGGAGGGGAAACTGCTCCCCACCTTGTGCCAGGCATTAAACTTGTCCTGCTTCACACATCATTTCATCTTCAGGACAGCCCTCCGATAGGCTCAGAGAAGTCAGTTAACATGCACGAGGCCACACAGCTCGTAGCCCCCACACTCTGAACCAGATCTCTTTCTGGCCCATGAAAGCCAATGAGGGGAGCCTCAGGGATTGTTCCCTCCCCCTCCCCCTGTGCCACCAGATAACCATGGCACGGATCGGTCTGTCCAAGCCTCTTTTCCCCTGGTTTCATTTATTCGGCATCTTTTGAGCACCTACTGTGTGCTGGGGCTCACTGGGTTGGGAGCTGTTTGAGGACTGTGACTGGGTTTCACTTAGCAGACACCAGTCCCCTCTGATGCACTGAGATCCCTGTTTGGCCCTGGAGACCCAGGGGAAGATGTCCCTGGCACTTAAGAGTGTGCACCGAGGAGGTGAATGGAATCGAAGAAAGGAGCGGAGCCTGGGGGAATTGGTGGCAACCCTCTTTCCCGCACCCTCCCCCCTCCACACACACACACACACACACACACACACACACACGAGGACAGGAGGCTGGGCTAGGGAGAGGACAGGCAGCTGCCTTTATTAGAGGCCATGAGCCGGCTGGCTTCAGTCAAAGGCCATGCACTTGATCTTGAAGTCGCCATCGGCTGCCAGGTAGTTGATGGCCTCCAGGTTGAGGCGGTTGGGGAACTTGAATGTGTGTCCATCTGGCAGCTTGACGGTCAGGTCGGCCTGGTCGAAGGAGATGCACACCTGGCGGGGCAGAGAAGGGCAGTGAGTGGGGTGGAGCCCCGGCTCGGCAGTCATAGCCGGCAGGTCCTGGGCCCTGGAGAGCTCCTTCCTCAAGGAGCCCGAACAGCAGCCCCACTTCCTGGGCGGGGCCGCTGAGGCTGGGAGAGGGGCTGGCGCTCAGCTCATTGGCCATCAGGCAGCAAGTGAGGGGAGGGAGGGGACTGGGGCAGAGGAGGGAGGGGAGGGTGGGACCTAGGTGTTTAGTCAGCATACCCAGCCCCGCCCCAGCCCACTGCCCCCAGGCCCCAGCCCACCTCTGCGACCGTCCCAGGCTGGAAGGGGAAGGCGGACTCGCGCTGCTCCGCGCCCCAGGCCCCGGCGTCTTTGCTATTGCACACGATGGTGTTGATGTCTCCGTGCGCTTCAAAGCGAGGGTTGAAGTGCAGGCACAGGTTGTCCTTGTCTTTGCCCAGGTTCAGCACGAAGCTGGGGGGGGGGGGGGGCAGGGGGCATTGAGGCCTTCTCGGCCAGCAGCAGCCCCCGCAGACTGACCAGTCGGTGCCACTCAGTGCACCATCACTGAGCGGGGAGGCAAGACACCTGGACTCTAGTTCTGGCCCTGCCACGCCCTTGCCGTGTGACCTTGACCAAGTCCCTGGCCTTCTGTGGATTTCAGTCTCCTCATCTGCACAATGGGGGGCAGTACAAGAAGGATCGCTAAGGGTCTTGCTGTACTGACGGCCAAGGCTCTCGCTCACCGACGTTAGTGTCCCTTTGGTCAAGGATGGGGACTCCTTCCAGAAGGTGACCTCTGGGAGGGCAAGTGTCCTGTCTGGTATATCTCTGCACTCCCGGTGCCCAGCATGACGACACACAGTAGGTGCTCAATAACGATGGCGCAAATAAACACATAATAACAATAACCGGGTTCATGGGTTCCAGCCCCGCATCAGGTTCCGTGCTGACAGTGCAGAGCCTGCTTGGGATTCTCTCTCTCCCTCTCTCCCTCTCCCTCTCTCTCCTCCTCCCCACCCCACCCCCCGCTTGCATATACTGTTTCTCTCTGTCAAAATAAATAAACTTAAAAAAAATAATAATAGCAATAATACATTTGCTGAGTGGAGACAATAGCAACACCACCGGGGGTGGGGGTAAGAATGAAATGGACAATGCACGTGAAATGTACGGCTCTTTCTAACGTCCGCTGGTCATCACCAGCATCCCCGAGAGAGAGAGAGATCCAGCATCTCACCTCCTCCACACCACCACCTGCCCCCTCCGTGATAGGGTAAGACTGAAGCTCGGGCGGTTGGAGGACTGGTCCAAGGTCACATGGCTGCTGAGAAACTAGGCAGCTGGCCTCGTGAATGAATGAAGGAAGGAAGGAAGGAAGGAAGGACCGAAGGGACGAAAGGTTGAGTGAGTGAAGAGCGCGGGAAAGAAGGACCTCCGAGGGCCAAGGGCGGGGCGACACCCCCTCGTTCCCTCTCCCGCCCCCCCCCCCCCCCACGGCCTTGGCCGGCTCGCGCGCACAGTGGGGGCAGGGCCAGCCAAGGTAGATGACGAGGCCGCAGCTGGTTTAGTTTAAGAGGCTCCGGCAGGGAGGGAAGGGGGCGAGTATACAGGGGGCGTCCAGACCCCGCGGAGGAAGTGACTCACTCAGAAAACGCCACCGCCGACAACCCCCCTCGCAGCCGGAGGGAGGGGCGGGGCCTGGCCGGCCACGCCCCTGCCAGACGCGGGGCCGTACCCTCGGGCTCCAAGCCGCCTGCCCCCGCCCCCCATCCGCACCCCCTCACCTCTTGGCTTCGGGGGCCACCTCGCCCCGCACTCTGAGGCACTCGCCAGGCTTGAGATTCAGGTTGCTGGCGACCAGACCCTGCAAAGACGAGACCACAACCGGCCGGGTTAGAGGACGCAGTGCCCGGGGGTGGGGCGGCGGGGTGGGGTCGTCCCCGCCCGGGATCCTCTGACCCGGCCTGCGGAAAGCCTGGGGAATCGGTAGCAAGTTCTAGAGTCTTTCTCTGTGTGGTCCTGGGCAAGTGCCTGCTCCCAACCGGGTCCTTTTCCTATCTGTAACACGACCGAGGTCGTAGAAGCCAACATCTGAAGTTTTTGCTGTTCGGCTTGAGGATTTTGGATTCAGAGTGGCTATGCTCCATCCCTTGGTTTAATAGATGGAGAGAATCTGACTCGGAGTGAGTGACACTGCGATTTGGTGGCAAAGGAAGGGGGATGGAGAGGTCCGCCCTTCGGTTGGAAAGGAAACAGCCCGGGGCTGGGCGATCCCCCACCATCCCCTTCGAGCCCCTCGGTGCAGAGAGGGGCAGGGGCTGGAGAAGAGACCCCTAAGGGGCGCAGCCAGGCCCCTCTGCAGAAGGGAGAGTGGCGCACCGGCCGGAGCACAGCAAGATTGAGCGCACAACTTAACCGGCATGAGTGGTTCCTTCTGCTAGAACCGTGAACCCTTTCCCTCGGGGCCTGTGGAAGAGGCTTGCCTCCTTCTCTCTCCCTTAGCACCCGTCTCCCAGCATGGGGAGTGGCGGGGAGGGTTACCCAGCCCCCACCCGACTAGCCTGGACAGAACCACCCTCCACCCACCAACCCAGGCAGGCGCCCTCCCGGGCAGCCTGTCTCAGATCCTGGCGCCTTTGCAGAGCTCTCTGGAGCAGAGGATGACTCTGCCCTGGCCCAGCGACTGGGGACAGCTGCAGGAGGGGGAGGGGACAGGAGGCTCTTCGGGGTGGAGGAGGGAGGGGGAAAGGGACAGCGGCTCGGCGTCCTTAAAGTGCCTCCCTACCCCACCAGTTGGCCACACCCTTCTCACTCCCACTTACCAGGGAGCTGCAAAATGTCAAACCTTGGCAGAAATAACTGTGCTGTCAGATCCTGGAGGAATTCAGATAAGTCTGAAGCCAGAGAAGGCCTTTGGGGACCATGGCGCCCACCCCCATTTTACAGACGGGGCCACTGAGGCCCAGAAGAAAGAAGGCCCTTGTTCAAAGCCACACCCTGGGGACTAGAACCCAGATCATCTGCGCCTACTCTCCTCTGCCCCCACGCCATCCCTGGGCCTTGGAGCGGGGTCCCCGCACTCACGCAAGCCATGATTGAGGACAGGAGGATGTTCCTGCGGACTGCGGCACCAGCGGTGTCAAGACTCTAGGAGAGGAGAGAGCTGGGCCCCCGGGGCCGCTCCCACCCTTTTAACTGGACCAGACTCCGGTGAGTCCCGCCCCCCCGGGCGTCCAACCAATTGTAAGTCAGGACAGAGAAGGGGGCCCCACTGGAGGCGGAGTCAATGGAATTTTGAAGCCCTTCGGGAGCAGAGGTGACCAATCGGAGCGGTAAACCCCCTTCTTCTTTAACCACTCCCCCCGGGGTCCAGGCTCCACCTCCCATTCTCCTTCATCCCTCCCCACCCCCCCACCCAAAAAATTGTGCTGTGGCGGGGATTGGGGGAAGCCAATGGAAAATAGTTTGAGGATGAGTTAGGCACGAGAGTTGGCGGGAAGGGGGCCTAGGGCCAGCAGGCCGAGCTCCGGGGGTAGCCAGAGAAGATGGCTGAGGGGATACAGCGTCCTTCAGGGAATTAGAATTGGGGTTCTTGAGGCTGCCCTGGCAGGGACCAGGGCGTGGCCGCGCTGCAAGGCCTCTGCAGAGAGCCCAGGACCATTAACCACAAGGCCCTGGCCCCACCCGGGCCTCCCCCGGAAGCAGAGATTGTGGCTAAAGAAAGGCTGGGCCGGGTGCCAGGCCTGACGCTGCCTCCGGGGCTCAGGCCTCAGGCCTCAGTCCTCCTGAGGGGCCTGCTGGGGATCTTCCAAAAGCCCCTGCCTGACAGCCTCCTGCCTGAGAGTCAGGCCTGCGAGGCGGCCCCCGGGGTGGGCCGAGCGGTGAAGGGTTGGGGTCCCCCCTCTGAACACCCCCCACCCCTTCTGCTCTCTTCCCATCTGTCTCTCCAAGGCTAGGCACTGCCTTTTCTTTCTCTAGTCATTTAGCAGATATTTTACTGAGCATCTACTGTGCGCTGGCCTGTGAGGAGTCAACGGTGAACTCCATCCAGCCCCTGCTTTCAGGTAGCACACTGCTGGGGCCGGACCTGGCCATGAACCTGAGTAAGTAGCATGTTGCTGGCTCTAAGGGGAGTCATGAACAAGCACCGTGGTGCCGAGGAGACTGTCCAGAGTGTGAAGAGGGTGGGTTTTGAAGGACGGATGAAGAAGGAGGGCCTGGCTTTCCAGCGTGAGCAAAGGCGCAGACCGGAACGGTGAACATCTGGGCATGGCTGGAGTTTGGGGTATGTTGGGGAAATATGGGGCATGGGGCCGGGAGGCCAACAGTACGTGGATCATGAAGGGCCTCTTTAAGGGGCTTGGCCATTGTTTTGACCGAGGGTGCTGGGGAGCCATAGAAGGTTATAGGGAAGGTGAGTATTGAGGACAGACACGAGTTACAGGGAAGATCGCTGCAGCAAGAGTTGAGGGCGGGTTGGAGGGGTGCTCACCTCATACCCAGGAGCCAGGAGGAGAGAGGGGGATGGGGAGCACTAGGCAAGGTGGGGCACTTACTCGGAGAGTTGTCACTGGGACCTCCTTCTCCGCATTGCCATCTCCCTTCTGAAATTGCCAGCACCGAAGATGTGGACCAGGAGGGACTCACATCTGGAGGCCAGGCCCTCCGCTGCCCCCCCCTCCACCCCACCTTCCTCCGGATGACTGAAGCCCACCCCTGGCACAGGAGGAGTGGGAAGAGGGGGGGCTCATTGGGCCTCGACGCAGGCCGCCCCCTGTCTGAGCCCATCACCCCTCGGAGACCAAGCCTCCGAAACCAACCACAGCTGTTTCAGTTTTTCCTCCAGGGCCTCTCCTAAACCTCAACGCAGGGAGGGGGTGGGCGGAGCCAGCTCCGAGGCCTTTCCTGTGTGCTTCCCCTCCAAGGGCCACGGACACCCTCCGCCTGATCAAGTCCTGGACCGAGGAGCAGAGGTGGTTCCGGCACAGTCCTTTCCTGGCTGCGTCGCGTGGGTCTGGCTGGCTGTCCCAGCCCAGCAGGTGGGCTCCCAGGGCATCAAGAGCTGCTTCCCCCCTGCTTCCCCCAACTTGGAAGACAGGCCCAGCACCACGAAGCGTTTGCTGTTGGACGAGGGGCTGCTTTATTCTCCAGGGTCTGGCCAGCCGAGGGCTGGTAGAGAATCAGCATGGCGTGGGGAACAGGCCTCCAGAAAGGCCCCTCTGGGAGTCTGGGGAGTTGGAATCCGGTCCCAGCCCTGCCACGCCGTCCCCCAGGGCATCCTGGCAAATCAGTCTGCCCATCTGTAAACTGGGGAGGTGAAACCCTGCTCTCCTACACAAGGTTGCTACGGGGTGGAATTCACGTCTGTTGCACTAAATAGGTGATTCCCCACCCCGACCCCTCCCCCCCGCAATCTCAGAAGGTTTTAGCTTCCCTCTTGTCTCTTTCTAGGCTGAGCTTACCTTTCTGGGGTCAACACCTCTGGGAAGTCTCCCTCTTACCCCCACCTTAACCCCAATAGTCCCTGCCAGCCTATGCTGGAGCAGGGAGTCTCTCCAGATTCCAGTGTCCCCTGTAACAGGGGTCATGGTTTTCCCGGGTAGGGGCAGGGACCAGGTGCACTGTGTGTGCCGAGCTCCCGCCCAGTCCTCGGGGCCTCCTAGCGATGGCACCCACTTATCTGCCCGGCCCTGTGCCCGGCGCCTTGCTTTCATACATTATCTCATTTCATCTACACCTCCCCCCTGCCTGATGCTTGCCAGCTGGGATGTACCGCACAGGGAAGCCGCTCCGGGCCCTGAAATGAATGAAGCTGGTGTCAGAATCGGGAGAAGGGAGGCGAGTCCTAATTTGGGGGCTGCCTGACTGTGACTGCGGCCAAGGACCTTACCCTCGCTGAACCTGTTTCCAGGCCTGGAAAGTGGGAACGTTAGCATTCACTGACTGGCTGCAGGATTACAGAGGTGATGTGGGGGGGGGCTCCACATTAGTTCTCTCTTCTGCACCCTCAAGGCCAAGGCTCCCCACCAGGGGGGCTCTCTTTCTCCGTCACTGCTCTGCAGCAGAGGCAGTGAACTCTCTGGAATATTCCCCCATTCTAACAGGCAGCTCTACAGGCTGGACCTTGGCCGCTGCTGTTAGAAATGAGCTCAGCACCTCTGGACAGGGGACCCAGGCCAGCGCAGCCCTTCCCAGACTGCCGACTCCTGCCCTGTCCTGCCCGCTCCTGCCCTGCCCGTGTGAAGGCGGTCCCTCCTCCAGCCGGCAGTGGCAGGGAGGGCTGCCAGACGCATTGAAACACCATCCACACCCCTCAGCCAACCTGACTGGCCCAGCCGGGGATGGTGGAGGTGACCAGAGCAGGCTCCGAAGTCCTAGAAGTCAGAGCAGGAAAGGACCCCAGAGATTCTGCACCTGATCTGCTGCCTCATTTAAGGATGGAGCAGAAGCCACCCAAAGAGACCGGCTACTTGGCCAAGGTCACACAGGGAGCTAGGGCTGAGGTGACTTCCGTCTATGGAGCCAAGGAAAGAACGTGATCCCGGGATACCTGGACCTCAAAAAGTGATCTTTTCCGGGGCGCCTGGGTGGCTCAGTCGGTTAAGCGGCCGACTTCGGCTCAGGTCATGATCTTGCGGGTTTGTGGGTTCGAGCCCCGCGTCGGGCTCTGTGCTGACGGCTCAGAGTCCGGAGCCTGCTTCGGGTTCCGTGTCTCCTTCGCTCTCAGCCCCTCCCCCACTTGTGCTCGGACTCTCTCTCTCAAAACTAAATAAATGTAAAAAACAAGTGATCGTTTCCTCCTGCTCCATGACGGGTAGAAGGGACTGTGGCAGGGTGGGGGGATGCCCCCGAAGCTCAGGCACTCTCCCAGCCTCCACTTACCTTGCCCATCCGTCTTACCTCCCTGCCTTCGTCTGCTGCCCAGACAGCCACCTCCCCACACACAGTGGGCTTCTGTCACTTTTGCCTTCCCACCTGGTGTCTGTCCCCCTTCTGATTACAGGCCCTCACTCGTCTTTGGGGAACTACCTCTCCTCTCCCAGGAGGTCTGGGTGGGGTTGAGGCCCTGCCATTCATTAGCCCTCTAGGGCTCAGGCATGAGTCTTTATTTTTGTAACGTTTTCTTTTGCCATAATTATAGACTTGCAGGAAGCGGAGAGCTCTTTAAGAGCTTAGAAAATATTTGAGACCTGAAGAGAAAAAATGTATTGGCTCTGGAATGGTAAAACTGGAAAGCTGAAACGAATCAACCTTTACTCACGCTTAAAACCTGGTGGTGGTAAAAACGGAAACATTTGGAAACAATTTTCTTGGGTTGAATTTTCTTATTTCAAAAGTGTGTCCAAGTCTTCCTAGAGGTTGGTCACTCTTACCTTAGATCCCCATTGGCCAAATAATGTCTCAAACAAACGTATAAAAATACTTTGGAAATGCATAGCAACCTCCCCGCCCCGCCTATATTTAATGTGGGACTTACGGGGAAGGGGGAGCATTTTAATGTTTTCTAGAATATGCCTGGGGCCTGCGTATCAGGAGAGTTTTTGGGTGGCAAGTAAAAGAAAACTCGACAGAAATCATTCTAAAAACTATTAAAAAAATGTTTATTAGAGAGAGAGAGAGAGAGAGCGAGCACAAGTGGGGGAGGGGCAGAGAGAGAGGGAGACACCGAATCCAAAGCGGGCTCACTGCTCTGAGCTGTCCGCACAGAGTCCGACGCGGGGCTCGAACTCACAAACCGTGAGATCATGACCCGAGCTGAAGTCAGACGCTTAACTGACTGAGACACCCAGGTGCCCCATCAACAGAAATCATCTTAAAATTAAGGGAAACTTTCACATCACAAAAATCTGGACCAAGGAGGTTTCCGTGGCAGCTGATTCAGTGGCTCGATGAAATCATCCAGGATCTGGGTTCTTGTATGATTGTGGAGCATGGCTGCGGAGACAGTCCTAGCTTTTCTATGTGGCCATAATCCAGGACTAGTCCTTGCCCCTAGGAGAGGCCAGCTAAAGGATTTGGGGTGAACAGTGTTAACATCTGCAAAGGATTCTCAAGTGAATCAGTGGAAAAATGTAAATATATACAAAGGGTGATTGAGCAAATTGGTCAAATATCGACAACTGGGGATCCAGGTTCATTATCCCACTGCTGCACCTTTTCTGCTGTTTTGAAACTTCTCTAAACTAAAACTTGGGGAGTTGGGGGCACCTGGGTGGCCCAGCACGGAGCCTGCTGGGGATTCGAGTCTGTCTCCCTCTCTCTCTCTGCCCCTCTCCTGCTCATGCCCTCTCTCTCTCTCTCTCAAAATAAACATTAAAAAAAACCCACAAACATTTTTTTTCTGAATTAAAAGTTGGGGAAGGGGCACCTGCTTGGCTCCAGTAAGCATCTGACTTCAGCTCAGGTCATGATCTCCTGGTTTGTGAGTTCGAGCCCCGCATCAGAGTCTCTGCTGTCAGCACAGAGCCTGCTTGGGATCCTCTGTTCCCCCCTCTCTCTCTCTGGCTCTCCCCAGCTTGTACTTCCTCTTTCTCAAAAATAACATTAAAAAAACAGTAACAATAAAACTTGGGGGGTATGAGATAAGAAATGTATATTTGGTCTCTGACCCCAGTTCCTACCAGTGTTCCTAAGACCCTTGGGATTTCCTAAGTGACAAAAGAGCTGGGAACGTCTTTTAATGTTTGGTCTTTGACTCAGGTGCCTGACACAGAGCTCCTAAATCCCTTGGAAGTTCCTGGCAGGCATACATCACCCTAACTCCATGGGGAGAGAAGTTCCTGCACTTGGGACCCTTCTGGACCTTGCCCTGTGCATCTCTCCATCCAGCCGTTCATCTGTATCTTTACATATCATTTATTATATGATAAACCAGTAAACATAAGTGTTTCCCTGAGTTTTGTGAGCTGTTACAGCATATGATTGAATCTGAGAAGGGGGCTTTGGGAACTTCCAATTTATAGCCAGTTGGTCAGAAGCTCAGGTGACACCCGGGACTTTTGAGTGGCATCTGATGGGGTTGGGGGAGGGGAGGAGGAAGGCGGAGGCGGCGGGGGGCGGGGGGCCCGGGAGTCTCATGGGACTGGACCCTTAACCTGTGGACCTGTGGAGACTTCACTAACTCTGGGTGGTGCCAGGATCGAATTCTAGGACACCCAGTTGTCCACAGAAGGCTACAGACTTCCTCGGTGCAGGAAAACCCATACATCTGGTGTCAGAAGTGTTCTGCGGGTAGAGGAAACAGCTTTCCCTTTTAGGTGGTGTCGGAGAAGTGGGATTTGCTAGAACCACCCAGGCTCATGGAAACATGTGGTTTGGGAAGAGAAAGGAAGGGCAGGGATGAGGAACCTTCGGTTCCCGAGTAGCCGAGGTGCCACGTGGCAGCTGTGTGGTGCTGAGTTACTCATGGTAAAAGTTACCCATGGAATTTAGAGACGACTCCAATTCGCGGGGACTTGGTCTACTGGACATATAAGGAAATGAGGGAAAAGCCACACACAGGGACCATCCCTTGGTTGTGGTTCCTCTGAATGGCGAAAATGAAATCACCAGAGTGCTAGGCGGGAAGGTGATGCTAGGCCGAGCTCAGGTTTCAGTGACTCTGAGCTCCTGTCACTGGCCTCACAGCCACCTCCAAAGGGAAACATCATGCAGTCACCAGAAAGTCCCTCTAAGGCCTCTGGTCACCAAGAAGGTAGTGGATGGGGGTGGGGGTGGGGGTGGAGGAGGGAGACAAAACCGGGAAACTATGGACACCAGAGAGTGTAGTGGGAAGGAGTTGTTTCATTTCGTGGATTGGGGTCATCAGCTTCCTGAGATATTAACTGGGAATCCAGGTGAAGGGCATATGGATGTTTATGGTACTTTCCTTGCACTTTTTCGGTTGGTTTAAAACTTTTCTGGGGGTGCCTGGGTGGCTCAGTGGGTTAAGTGTCCGACTCTTGGTTTTGGCTCAGGTCATGATCTCCCTGTTCATGACATCAAACCCCGTGTGGGGCTCTGCGTGGACAGCACGGAACCTGCTTGGGATTCTCTCTCTCTCCCTCTCTCTCTGCCCCTCCCCCTCTCACTGTCTCCCTCTTTCTCTCTGTCTCAAAAATAAATAAAATAAACTTAAAAAATTAAAATTAAAAAGTTGGGGGAAACAGCCAGCCCCAAGTTCTTCCCATCTTTCTGCTCTGCCACCTGAAGTGGAGAAGTCTGTTGGGTGGGTCTCATGATCACAGAATGGCTGCCAACAACTTCCGCACCCAAAGCCCAGAAGAGTGTTTCCCTCCTCCGGCCATGTTCTTCGTTTCAAAATATTTATTTTTGAGAGGGAGAGAGAGCATGAGTGGGGGAGGTGCAGAGAGAGAGGGAGACAGAGGATCTGAAGCAGGTTCTGAGCGGACAGCAGAGAGGTGGGCGTGGGGCTCGAGGACCCGGAGATCATGACCTGGGCCAAAGTCGGAAGCTTAACCGACTGAGCCACCCAGGCACCCCCAACCATGTCCTTCTTTGAAAGTGGGGCAAACATTCCCAGGATCTCCCAACAGCCCTCCCCTCAGGTCTTGCCGGTCAGAAGTGTACCGCAAGTCCACGGCTAAACCAATCACTGGATAGCCGGGGAATCAAATAACCATGATTGGCTCAGACTCAAGCTTTAAACCAATCAAGAGTCACTTCCTGGGACTGGGCTGCCTCCCCCTTCTGATTCACAGGCCACCGTGTGCTCTGCTCAAGGAAGGCAGGTTTCTGTCCACAGGGACGGTGGGGAGGGGCCACTAGGTCCAGAGTGGAGCCGGGAGGTGGGCACTCCTTGGGGGCGTGGGGGGTGGGGTGGCGGGAACTTGCCCCAGGCTAGCCAAGAACTCTGCTCTATCCCCTCCGGCGCAGGTTCTGAGATGGGCATGTGGCCTCAGCCCTCGGATGTCGGTCGGATGAGCACAGCTAAAGGCGGGTGCACCTGGTGGGCTGGAGCACCTCGCAGGGGCCGACAGTGAACTCCTCATGCCTTAGCCAGGCCGAGCTGAGTTCCTGTCACAGCCAGAAGTCCCCGCGAGGGAAAATGGGCTCTGACTTCGTGATGCAGCCGGGCTCAGTCAGCACTTTCTCTTCCCCAGAACAACCACCCTGGAGAACATCGCCCAGACCTTGCACCCCTCGCTTTACACAGGAGGGAACAGGCTGAGCGGGAAGGCCTTGTGCAAGCTCGCGACAAGCCAATCAGTGACAGTCAGGCCTGGAGCAATCGTGACACCTCCCCGCCCGCAGCCCCTCAGCCAGCTCACTGCGGGGGGGGGGGGGGGGGGATGTCACAGGAGCATCCCAGGCGGGAGGGGAGCCCGAAGGTGGGTGGGATGGGGGTGTAGGATCTCACCTTGAGCTCCCGGAGAGCCAGGACCTCCTTCCTCTCGGGTCTCTGCAGAGAGGGCGCTGTAGCCCCCTGGAATCCGCTAACGGGAGTTCAAACCCTGTCTCAGGAGATCACGCTTTCTAGACGTGTGCCGCTGTGTAAGTTAACACCGCCATTTCTGATCCGCATTGCCCAAGAGGCAAAAGGGGCCGAGCGATACAAACTGGCTGAGTTTTCGGAAGGACTGAAACACATCAGGACGTAAAGACCCAGCGGGGCATCAAGCGCTACTGGGCTGAGGTAGGACAGGGCACAGGAAAACACTCCTCGGGGGCACCTGGCTGGCTAAGTGGGTTAAGACGCTCACTCCTGGTTTCACCGTGGCTCAGGTCACGATCTCACAGCTCGTGAGTTCCGGTCCCACGTCAGGCTGTGCCGACAGCCCAAAGCCTGCTTGGGATTCTCCCTCTTTCTCAGAACAAATCAATACATCTAGAAAAAGAAGACGCTCTGGGACCGGGGTGGGTCATTTCCTGCAGAGGAAGGTTGCCAAGCCGGCCAGTGCTGTGGAGACCCGGCTCAGGCAGGGGTGGGGGGGTCCTCCTCCCGCCCCGTGGCCCACACACACTCGAGGCCACACAGGCTCTCCCGCTCGCACTTTATTAAGTACGGGACGGCTGGTTACGACAGAGGCCGAAGTGGCGGGAAGGCCCAGCCCCCACCCCCACCATCACTGACACACGAAAATAAATAAATAATAAATAAATAAATAAATAGCCAGGGGCGGGCACGGGGCAGAAGTGGCACAGCAAACACTGACAACACGGGGACACAACCGCCCCCCCCCCCCCCGCTGTGGCCACCATCAACGCTGGACTGATACCAGTACCATGATCAGGGAAACGTGGGGCTCTCGGCCACAGAAACCCCCAGAGCCGTTGGGTGGGCCCTCCCCGGATCACGTTTGTGGAGGGGTGGGAGTCTTCAGCACTTGACACGTATGGACAGAAATCTGGACCCCTAGCTAGTCCAGTCAGATCCAGATTGTCAAGAGGCCACGCTCTCTCAGACTTCTGGGTTGTTCTCTTTAGGATCGAAGAGACCAGTGAGTCATTATTACCTGGTGTTCTGATCGGTCTACCCAGGAGTGAGGACCTGAAAGGGTCATTGTCACTTTGCCTTCTGATTGGTCCACTCAGGGATCAGGACGATAATGGCCGGTGGTTCCCTAGACCTCTGACTGGTCAGCAGGAACCCAAGGCCAGGACTGGAGGGAGGAAGGGCTCTAGAGGCCCCAGGGAAGGAGTTGGGGATTAAGTGGTCAGGGTTAGGGGAAATCTTCAGTGGGCACAAGGCCCAGATTTCAAAGAGGGGAGTTCACGAGGCAGGAAATAAGGCCACCTGGCTGGGTCAGGCCAGGGCGAACTGGTAGGGGGAGGGGGACAGCCTCCGGAACGGCAAAGAGTGCCCAGCCACCACTGGGAGGGGACGCGAGGGCCCTAACACCTTCCCTGGGTCCCAACCCCACCAGGCTACAGAAAACGGGGCCCAGGGGCCGGCAGCTCTTGGCCCATCGCCTCCATCTACGGGATCGGGGTGGAGGGTTGCGGTTGCTGGTCAGGTGGGCTCAGTCCTCCAACCCCTCCATCAAGTCCGCGATGCTCTCCACATAGTAATGGGGCACGAGGTCATGCTGGCCAGACGCCAGGTAGGCCCGGGCCTCCTCCAGGCGGGAGACGCCTGTGAGCGTGAGCACGGTGGTCATGCCACAGCGGTGGCCGAAGAGGATGTCGGTCTCCAGGCGGTCACCCACCATGAGCGTGCGGGTGGGGTCCACGCTGAAGTGCTCCGTGATACACTCGAACATGTAAGGGCTGGGCTTGCCCACCACCAGGGCCTGGCGACCCGAGGCTGTCTCCACTGCAGCAGCCAGGCTCCCAGTGCCTGCAGGGAGATGGAGACGTGGTCAGTGCGGAACGGTCGCAGGGGAGGCATGCAGGCTTGGAAACAGAATTCCAGGGAGGCGGCGTGGCACGGGGGTTAAATGACGCACTACAATGGGTCAAAATCTTCCCAGTCTTCGTGGTTAAGAGTACAGACTGCGACCAGATGCCTGGATTCAGGCTCCATCAGCTCCGCCCTCCTCGGGAAGGCCACCTAACCTCGCCGTGCCTGTTTTCCCATCGCTAACATGGCCCGGTAGGGGCTCAGCCAGTCCCGTCTGGGGTTCACTGTTGGACCCTGGCAGCTGTGTGCCTTTGGGCAAGCCACGTGACCCTCTCTGAGTTTCCTTGGCCTCACCGGAAAAGGAGGATCCAAGTGATAATTGCCCACCTTCAAGAGGTGCTGTGGGCTTCGCAGGGGCAAGCGGTTTGGAAAGCGGAAAGTACTTAATGGACAGCAGTGTGGTTACCACCACAGGAATGTGGGCTCCTGGCATCAGAAACTGGCACAGCCCTTTTGGAACGCAGCAGGGCACAGAAACGTTCGCACCTCTGCCCCAGTCGGCCTCGGCCGGGAAAGCGATCACAGGCAGAGAAATTCAAACTGGAGACAAAAAGCTACATGCCTGAAGATGTCCGCGGCCCCAGTAACTATAATAAGCAAAACTGTGGACATGCCCAAGAATTTAACAATAGGAGGACTGTTTAGAAAAGGGCAGTCCTGACTCCCAGCCCCGTACCCTCCTGCCCCACACAATGAGTCCACTGTGCCCGTCCCACAGGCATATCTTTGTGCCAGACGGTTCTGCCTTCGCATTAATGTCCCTGAACCAACGATGATGATAATCACTATTTACTGAGCACATTCTAAAGTGGGCTGTGCTGGGTGCTCACGGAAGCCCATTTCACGGATGAGAAAGCTGACGCTCTGTGACCCTGAGTAACTTATCCGGGGCCGCACAGCTTCGCGAGCAGCAGACAAAGGATATGTGTTCGGGTGGGTCTGACCCAGTCATGCGCTGGGCCGGCTTGTCCCGGCTTGGGAGTGCTGAATGCTTCACTTTCAGGAATTTGGTGAACTGCTTGTGAAAGCCACGATGAAAAGTCAACTTACCGTCTAAACGTACAGTCAAATTAACTGTTGAAAGCAAAGGCACTAAGTTCTCAAAACTCATTTCTTCCTAATTATCTTAGCATCATCTATGCTCTCGAGATTGCTTACGTCTGTAATGATGAAAATACTGTATAATGGTGTGTGCACAAACCTTCCCAACTCCACAGTTCAGTGACTTTATGCTGGTAGCTTGAAATTGGCCATGGTGGGAGTACTTGTCCCACAGAAATTGGGAAATGGTATCAGTTAAGCCCCCCCCCCCCCCCCCCAGTTATGAAACAATTGTCAGTACACCACTGGGTTGACCCCAAATGCTCTGGGCCTCTCTCCTTTCACAAAGGGGGACATTCTGAGCAGTCAAGCCAAAGTTACAGAACGATAAAGCAGGCTCAAAAGCAAGAAATCCTCAGGGCGCCTGGGTGGCTCCATCGGTTAAGCGTCCGACTTCCAGCTCGGGTCATGATCTCGCGGTCCCGGAGTTCGAGCTCCGCGTCGGGCTCTGTGCTGACAGCTCAGAGCCTGGAGCCTGCTTCCCATTCTGTCTCCCCCTCTCTCTCTCTCTCTCTCTCTGCCCCACCCCTCCCACCCCTGTTCATGATCTGTCTCTGTCTCTCTCAAAAATAAAAAAAAGACAAGAAATCCTCAGCCCAGCAAATCCCTA